ACAGAGAGCATCATGAAGACCAAGAAACACACCAGGCAGGTCCGAGGTACTGTTGTGGAGAATTTAAAACCTGATTTGGATACAAAAAGATTTCCCAAGCTTTAAACATCCCAAGGAGCACTGTTCAAGCAATCATATTGAAATAGAAGGAGTATCAGACCACTGCAAATCTACCAAGACCCGGCCGTCCCTCTAAACTTTCATCTGGAACAAGGAGAAGACTGATCAGAGATGCAGCCAAGAGGCCCATGATAACTCTGGATGAACTGCAGAGATCTACAGCTGAGGTGGGACAGTCTGTCCATAGGACAACAATCAGTCGTACACTGCACAAATCTGGCCTTTATGGAAGAGTGGCAAGAAGAAAGCCATTTCTCAAAGATATCCATAAAAAGTGTTGTTTAAAGTTTGTCACCTGGGAGACACACCAAACATGTGGAAGAAGGTGCTCTGGTCAGATGAAACCAAAATCCAACTGTTTGGCCACAATGCAAAACGATATGTTTGGCGTAAAAGCAACACAGCTCATCACCCTGAACACACCATCCCCACTGTCAAACATGGTGGTGGCAGCATCATGGTTTGGGCCTGCTTTTCGTCAGCAGGGACAGAGAAGATGGTCAGAACTGATGGGAAGATGGATGGAGCCAAATACAGGTCCTTCTCAAAAAATTAGCATATTGTGATAAAGGTCATTATTTTCCAAAATGTAATGATAAAAATGAAACTTTCATATAGTTCAGATTCATTGCACACCAACTGAAATATTTCAGGTGTTTAATTGTTTTAATACTGATGATTATGGCATACAGCTCATGAAAACCCAAAATGCCTGTCCCAAAAAATTAGCATATTTCATCCCACCAATGAAAGACAAGTGTTTTTAATACAAAAAACGCCAACCTTCAAATAATCATGTTTAGTTATGCACTCAATACTTGGTCGGGAATCCTTTTGCATGAATGACTGCTTCAATGCGGCGTGGCATGGAGGCAATCAGCCTGTGGCACTGCTGAGGTGTTATGGAGGCCCAGGATGCTTCGATAGCGGCCTTAAGCTCATCCAGAGTGTTGGGTCTTGCGTCTCTCAACTTCCTCTTCACAATATCCCACAGGTTCTCTATGGGGTTCAGGTCAGGAGAGTTGGCAGACCAATTGAGCACAGTAATACCATGGTCAGTAAACCATTTACCAGTGGTTTTGGCACTGTGAGCAGGTGCCAGGTCATGCTGAAAAATGAAATCTTCATCTCCATAAAGCTTTTCAGCAGATGGAAGCATGAAGTGCTCCAAAATCTCCTGATAGCTAGCTGCATTGACCCTGCCCTTGATAAAACACAGTGGACCAACACCAGCAGATGACATGGCACCCCAGTGACATGGACCTTGATTTCCAAAGGAAATGCAAAATTTACTGTAATCAGAGAACATAACTTTGGACCACTCAGCAGCAGTCCCAGGCGAGATGCTTCTGACGCAGTCTCTTGTTCAAAAGTGGCTTGACCTGAGGAATGCGGCACCTGTAGCTCATTTCCTGCACACGCCTGTGCACGGTGGCTCTGGATGTTTCTACTCCAGACTCAGTCCACTGCTTCCGCATGTCCCCCAAGGTCTGGAATTGGCCCTTCTCCACAATCCTCCTCAGGGTCCGGTCACCTCTTCTCAATGTGCAGCGTTTTCTGCCACACTTTTCCCTTCCCACAGACTTCCCACTGAGGTGCCTTGATACAGCACTCTGGGAACAGCCTATTGGTTCAGCAATTTCTTTCTGTGTCTTACCCTCTTGCTTGAGGGTGTCATTGATGGCCTTCTGGACAGAAGTCAGGTCAGCAGTCTTACCCATGATTGCGGTTTTGGGTAATGAACAAGGCTGGGAGTTTTTAAAAGCCTCAGGAATCTTTTGCAGGTTTTTAGAGTTACGTCGTTGATTCAGATGGTTAGGTTAATAGCTTGTTTAGAGAACCTTTTCATAATATGCTAATTTTTTGGGACAGGCATTTTGGGTTTTCATGAGCTGTATGCCATAATCATCAGTATTAAAACAATTAAAGACCTGCAATATTTCAGTTGGTGTGCAATGAATCTGAAATATATGAAAGTTTCATTTTTATCATTACATTATGGAAAATAATGACCTTTATCACAATATGCTAATTTTTTTAGAAGGACCTGTACATGACCATTCTGGAAGAAAACCTGTTTGAGTCTGCAAGAGACCTGAGACTGGGACGGAGATTTATCTTCCAACAAGACAATGATCCAAAACATAAAGCCAAATCTACAATGGAATGGTTCACAAATAAATGTATCCAGGTGTTGGAATGGCCAAGTCAAAGTCCAGACCTGAATCCAATTGAGAATCTGTGGAAAGAACTGAAGACTGCTGTTCACAAACGCTCTCCATCCAACCTCACTGAGCTCGAGCTGTTTTGCAAAAAGAATGGGCAAGAATTTCAGTCTCTCCATGTGCAAAACTGATAGAGACATACCCCAAGAGACTTGCAGCTGGAATTGCAGCTGGAATTGCAGCAAAATGTGATGCTACAAAGTATTAATGCAAGGGGGCCGAATAATATTGCATGCCCCACTTTTCAGGGTTTTTTTTGGTTAAAAAAGTTTGACACATCCAATAAATTTCAATACACTTCACGATTGTGTCCCACTTGTTGATTCTTCACAAAAAAATAAAATTTTATATCTTTATGTTTGAAGCCTGAAATGTGGCAAAAGGTTGAAAAGTTCAAGGGGGCCAAATATTTTCGCAAGGCACTGTAACTGTCAACAATGGTATACCACAAGGCTCAGTCTTAGGACCCACACTCTTTACAATCTACATAAGTAATATAGGTCAGATCATTTCTGATGCCTCCTTACATTTCTCTGCCGACGACACAGTTGTTTATTGTCGAGCTAAAACAGTTACTAAGGTTTTCCAGATTTTACAGCCTGCATTTGACATCATTCAGTCAGACTTGTTCCATCTCACACTGGTGCTAAATACTGATAAAACCAAAAGGATGTTGTTTTCAAACTGGAAGTCAATCCCAGCAGTCCTTCCTTCTATGTGATCTACGAATGGTGTTCCTATTGAGTTGTCTATTCTTACAAATACTTGGAAATTTTGAATTTTGGAATCTGGTCGATGCACATCTCTTTTAAGTCTCATGTCGAAAACTTGATAAAGATAATTAAAATTAAAATTGGGTTTCTTTTACAAAAATTGATCTTGTTTAACTGAATGCTAGGAAACGCCTTTTAACTGCGACTTTCCTTCCCTCCATTGACTATGGTGACATTATTTACATGAATGCTCCTACAAGCACCCTGCACATCTTGGACGCTGTCTATAACAATGTGCTAAGATTCATAACTGGTTGTAACTACTGTACCCATTACTGCACCATATATTCCCTGGTTAACTGGCCATCATTAACTTCACACAGACTCTCTTACTGGTACATTTTCATTTTTAAATCACTTATTAGTTTGTTGCCTTTATACATCTCCTCCTACATGTCCCTTGTCAGTGCGGCAACAACGTGCACTCTCAGGACATTATTACATGAAGTGTTCCTTCAGTGCAGCCTGAATTTGGCAAAAAGGCCTTCTCCTACTCCGCTCCTGTTTCCTGGAATGTCTTGCAAAAAAATCTGAAGCTCTCGACCTTGACCTCTCTAAGGGATATTAAACAACTGCTAAGCTCAATGCAAAAATCAATACAGACGTTCTTGTTTTTAGTGTTTTACTGTTTCATAATGTAGCTTGTTTTTAATTTTATTTTTATACCACTACTTTTAGTTACCTGTACTTTTTATTTTATATGCTTTCTATGACTGTTCATTGTTGTCTGTACTTCATCTGTGTTCTTTGTCTAAAACAGGTCTCTCTTGTAAATGAGTCCTCGTGACTCAATGAGACTAACCTGTATAAATAAAGGTTGAATGAAAAAGTAGGACCATAAAGTTACTCTTTTGATGTATAAAACAGGTATAGCCTTCCTAGGCAGTTCTACAAAGTTTTGACTCAAAGGGACTGAGTATAAATGCTTGCCTTACTTTTCAGACTTTTATTTGCAAAAAACCCCTAAAGAACATGAATCATTTTCCTTCCACTTATGATTATGTTCTACTTTGAGTTTGTCTACGACATAAAATCCCCATAACTTACTTTGAAGTATATGGTTGTAACATGTCCAAAAGAGGAAAGGTTCGAGGGGTGAGAATACGTTTTTGAAGCACTGTATGAAACATGTGGGACACAGCATCTCACGCAGGACCAAACATTCCCTCATAAATTTGTCATTGTTACCGGCTGTCTCAAGCTGAGACGGTGTGGAAAAAGAGAATAACAATCATCATCTCAGCTGTAGGGTCCCGCACATCCCTGTCTCTGTCACACGCACTGAGCAAAGGGACCTCCTCTTTGCTAAAGCAAAAAGCTTCTAGTCAGATTTTCGGAAGCACTACATTTGAGAGCGTTCAACACAAACAAAGCAACGATCGTGTCCCTGACAGATGTTCCTTCCACTGTTACTCATACTGCGGGTGGAAAAATGAGAAATGATAAAACAACAGAGAAAGGAGGATGGCTGCCAGTGATGGCAGGCAGGCACGGCTGGCAGTGACAGATGAGAGGTTGGTTTCCGCAGGGATGGCACGGTCAGGAAGCCAATGGGGGGAGAACAAAGAGGGGAACATGGTGACCTGTGCCTGGGTGCATCCTGTTGTGTCCTGCCCTGCTCCAAGCAGAGAGCCAGCAGTAAGTGATTAACATTTCCCCAGCCAATTCCCATCATTTGGGCTTTATTACTTTGTTTTCAGCCTTGATTCTTCTGCTTTTAGCTGACACTGCACTCTACTGGTGGGGGGTGGGGTGGGGGGAATGAGGGAACAACAGCGACACCAGGGAATTCAGAGAAAAAGAAACGTGGAATTTTCTGTGTCATATGTGAAGCTTTAATCTCTACTTTCACATTTTAAATCCACGTCACTTATGAACTCACCCACTGCCCATAACACAGAGTCGTAGGTGTCTTTGTGCTCGCAGCCCATCTCAGTGTTGGTCCATGTCACCTGCAGGACTCCTGAAGACAGCTTGTCCACTCTTTTAGGGATGGAGTTCCAGGCAAACTTGGTCCCGTAAGCCTCCATGTAATCTGTCACAAGACCTGCCATTTGCTGCACGAGATCAAATCCATTAGCTACCTTCAAACAGATTATAACTTCAGACTGTGCAGAAAGAATATCAGAAAGCAATACCCGATCGAAACCCCGGAGGGCAATGCTGCGAACCATCAATGTGGTGTCCAAACCGATGCCTGTGAGGAAGCCGGCACACTCAAGAGCTACATCTATGTGACACAATGTTCAGGATTACAGGGTTTTACTACATCTGAAGAAAAAACTACTGTTCAATGCAAAAATGGTGAAACTAGATTAGGAAATTTGTCATCAAGCTTGTTTTTATCAGAGTCCAATAAATAACTAGAGCAGAATTTTGCACCATAGGTTTAAACACGTATAAATAATTAATTTACATTAACTAGTCTGATGTCAGTGTTACTTCGACTCATTATAACTACATTTTGTGTACTGATTGCTGGCAGACTCAACACCATGGCCCCCCAAAGGCATACAAAGGATACAGCTGGCTCCAACCACAAGTCTGTAAAACACAAAGACAAGCTCTTAAAACAACAAGCAACACAATAAGTTACATTTCCCTGTTTCAGCGCACTTTGTCCAAATAAAACAAAGCCATGATGAACCTGGATCTGGAGACATTACATCTCTGAACCAGATGGGTGTTGAACTGAAAAGTCTTATAACTTCAGAAGTGAAGAGGTGTGAATAAAATGTGGAAGATGAAGACAGTAAAAACTCTGAGTTCATGTGTGTGGTCCTTCTATTATTTGTCTAAACATCTGTGGTCCTGAAGAGGGCTAATTGCCAGCGCTTAGACTAATGCCTGCAGATGGGATGTGCCAGGTTCAGGGCTCAGGTCCTCCACTGTCAGCCCGCTGAGTGAAGCACATCCCCCCCCCATGGATGAGGCCCATCTCTCCGTTGTTTTTAGCCCTTTAAGCAGAACCTCCTTCCCTTGACGTCTGCTCTGACTGACAGCTCCAGCTGCCTGCGGCACATCCTGCCCCTGTCCATACTGACTCCCACTGAAAGCCCCACCACGGGTTTCCCCACTTCTGTGTAATGCACGGCTACACTTATCACGTATTGTGAAGTGGTTTAAAAGAGATTAGGCAAAGAGCTTCAGTGTGACTCCAAACTTTCATCGCTGAAAAACTGTCCCTCCCGCCCCACCCTTCTTCTAACTCAGTGTGTTTAAATGTACTTTTCTTACAGCTGTTAAACTGTAACACACTGCTAAATAAATAAAAAAGATTTGTAGTCTTTACCACAACTCTGACACCTCTGTCTTTAACAACAAATATTCAGTGGAATATTTGCAACATGTATTGTTTTACAACATAACATGACATAAAACTATAAATGTAGATGAAAGTTGTGACTGTCCGCATGTGATTAAGTCGGATACTGTTTGTGGGTAACGTTTTACTTAACACTGAACAAGCAGTATGCCGATGTCTCCCACCACTGAGTGAATGCTTGTAGTTTTCAAGATGAGTGTTTTTCTGTACTGGAACTGAACAGGGAATGTACGTAAACTTTAATGTATTTGGTGAAGATATTTAAGTGGGTAGGAGTTACACTGTGGAGAAGAATACGTGTTTTGCTTGTCCGAGGCAGCACAGAGCGAGTGGAGGGAGCATTTTATCCACCACTAGGCCCAATGCTACCTCTTTACAATAAAGCTCCAATTATAGATGGCTAGATACGTTATTAATTCCTTTATAATGCATGGAAGCTCACGGATGCTGTGCAGCTGGAAGGATTTTTACTGAAACTTTTTTAGTTTTGGACATTTGTTATGATGCGTAACCATGGCAACAAGGCAGTTTTCTACAACCAACAGCAGCTGATTAACATCTCAAAAGCTCAAATAATATCTCAACTACAGCCCCAAATCTCAAATGAGTTGAAAAGGATGTTCTGTGGATGCATTCTCATCTACCTGCTAGCTGTGCAAAAGTGCCTGACCACTGAGATCCTGGAACTAGCAGAAAACACGGCTCATGACAGTGGAAGGACATGATCGTCCCTCAGCACCTACAGTTGGCTGTCCACAGCAACGAGGAGTTCAGCAGACTGCTGGGAGGAGTGGCCATTGCTCTGGGAGGAGTTCTGCCTGGCATTCAGGTAGTCTCACAGCCCGGGGGAACCAAGAGGCCAGCCGAGTCTGGGTGGACGGATTGGATGGCTTCTGCAGCCAGTTTCTTAGGATCCACTATGGGATGGACCTTTACAAGAGATCCTTCCTGTCTACATCCATCAGTATCTAAAACATCTCTTAATGAAATGAGGATAACGAGTTACAACAACAAATAATTTCCCTTTGGGATTAATAAAGTATTTTTGAATTGAATTGAATAAACACTTTATAAATCATTAATAACGGCATATTGTGTATTAATTAAGGGTGATAAAGAGACAAACTACCAGTTTCTTGCCAAAGTGAGCCAAATCTGTTCACCTATATATTTCATCTAGAGTTGTTCTATTAAACATTTCAGACTAAGTTACTACCTTGTAAGCACAATAAGCATTTGTAAACATATTTCGATGCATTATAAGTATCTACAACTAATATTATATGATAAAAAACAGGTTTACAAATGTTTATTGTGTTTTTAAGGTAGTATTTTTTCTTCTTTTTTTTTTTCCATTTTGGCTTTATTTATCCAGGTTAGTCTCATTGAGCCACGAGAACTCATTTTCAAGAGAGACCTGTATTAGGGAGCAGATGGGGGGTAAGGGCCTTGCTCATGGGCCCAGAGTGGGGCGAATGAGTGTGGGGCAAGTGTGGGTGCTTCTCCTACCCCACCCACATTTTTGATGTTGTCGGTACCGGGGCATGAACCGGAGATCTTCCGATCACAGGCCCACCTTCTCTAACCTCTTTGCCACCGCTCCCTAATATATGTCTCCCCAAGTAACTTGGTTTGAAATGTTTAATATAACATATGTAGATGAAATATATAAGTGAACAGGTTTGACTCATTATTTGGCAAGAAACTGGTCTATTTTGTTTCTGTCACCCTTAATTAATGCATAATGGTGGGGAGTGGTGGCGCAGAGGTTAGAGAGGTGGGCTTGTGATCCGAAGATCGCCGGTTCACGCCCCGACAACATCAAAAATTGTGGGTGGGGTAGGTGAAACACCCACACTTGCCCCCACCCTCATTCGCCCCACTCTGGGCCCATGAGCAAGGCCCTTAACCCCACCATGTGCTCCCTAAACAGGTCTCTCTTGAAAATGAGTTCTCGTGGCTCAATGAGACTAACCTGGATAAATAAAGGCTAAATGAAAAAAATAAATAAATAAACAATTATTAATGATTTATAAAGTGTTTATAGAGGAATTTATAACTATCTATAAACTATTTAATAGCATCTATAAGGGGAGCCTTATTGTAAAGTGGTACTGGCCCAATGACAGAGCCAGGAGGTGGCCAATGGTGTCCTTGGCCCCCAGAGATCTTCCATGGGAGTGGTCTTAGCTGAAAGTCCTCTCCGACTGATACTTCAAGCACTAACAAATCATGCAAGAACTTTGTTTCCATGACATGCAAGGCAGCAGGCAATACACATTCTTTAAAGGAAAACTAGTTCCTTGTCACCTGTTGCGGAACGAAAAGTAAAATAGGAAATATCTGCCCGTCAAAGTTGTGAGCTCGACATCTTGATGTACAGACTTCCATTTTGGTGTGCGATTGCATCTAAGCGTAAGAAAGTTTCCTTTTGAAAAATGAGTTGCCACATAAAAATCTTAGATGGATGCTGCCATATACTGTATGTATATCTGTAAACCTTGTGAGCTGGATAACTTGGAAAAATAAGCAATGTGCGGACTTCCATTAAATGTGTGGCTGCATCTAGGTGTAAGAAAGTCACAATCAAAAATTGGGTTGCCATGTCAAAATCTAAGATAGCCACCATCGTAGCGATCCCATTCATATGAGGAAACTATGCTTTCTAGTTTTTATTTTGTTTAAAAGTATAGTTTCCTCAAATGATCGGAGCAGATTAACTACCCCCTGGCTCCACCATCACACCTTGTAGTTGATATAATTGCTCCCTCCACTTGCCAAGATCCATCACTTTGCACTGCCTGGAACTAAAACTACCTCTGTACTTCCACACAGTGTAACTCCTACCCACTTGAATATTTTGCACCAAAAACATTGTTTACTTGCATTTCCTGTTCAATACCAGTCCAGAAGAACTTGACAAACTTATGAGGAAAACTACAAACATTCACTATCCAATAGGGGTGGATGATATAGCTCAAATATAATATTGTGACATTTCAGAGCATTCTGACGATAACGATAAATTTTGTGATATAACATAAAAAAAAACAGAAATCATAGTTATTGATTTGACAAAATTAACTTAACATGTTGCTTTGCAAGATTATATAAAAACTTTAAAAAAACAAGGGTTAATTTTACTGAAATTACTTTATTTAGTAAAGTATTCAGTCTCAAAGTATAAAAATAAAAAAGATCCTTCTGTTATTTAGATTGAAAGTCTGCATAAAATATAGATCAACAAAATCTACCCCAAAAATTAAAGTGCAGGTGAAGTTTCCCAAAATAACTGAATAAAATGAAGCTTAAGATCTGTTGAACATAAATGTGACATACAACAAAATATATGTTGCCTTTAAATGAGTTATAACTTCCACAACTTGTAACAAGGTGATCATCTGACCCTGAAGCTTGTTGGTGTTTAATCTTCCTCTGTTCCTGCAGGAATGATTCATTTCTCTGATGCTCTGTCTCTGATCACCAGCTGCAGTTCGGTTCAGTAGTTCGGTGCACTCGGTTCTGTTAACGGGGCAGGGTGCCTCGCTTGTATAAGGGGAAACACTGACGTATTTGCGTCATGAAATTATCATATCGCATATTTATTTTCCCAGGCAAGCATTTTTTACCGTATTATCATGAACGATATGATATGGTCCAGCCCTACTATCCAAGTGACAGGGTCATCGACAAACAGCTTCTTATTTACTACAGTTTCTAATGGCCTTTGTCTCCAACTCCCACAACCCCCGAGTTCTTTTCTCCACCCTGAACTCAGTTCTACACCTCAGTGAGCCTTCACCTCTGGAAGCCTCAACTGAGCTGTGTGAGAACTTCCTCCATTTCTTTTTAGAAAAAGTGGCAAACACCCGGGCACTCATTTCTCCACCAGCTCATGATCTGTCCATCCCATCTCAGTGTGTGGCTGTGTTTGACCACTTTGAGCCCATCTCTCTGTCCTCTCTGGAGCAGGTAATGTGCAGCATGAAGCCATCTGGTTCCCCCTTTGATGTGGTCCCCCCTTGACTGCTAAAGGAAGTTTTTCCTACCCTGGGTCCTTTTATCCTCACTATTCTGAATAGCCGTTTATCCTCAGGTGTGGTGCCAAAGACTTTTAAACATGCTGCTGTCCAGCCCCTCCTGAAAAAACCTAACCATGACCCCTCAGTCATGTCCAACTTCCGGCCTGTCTCCAGACTCCCATTCACCTCTAAACTAC